AATCAAAGGTATATAATCGTATTTGCCAACTACACTGGCAATTTTTTTTTTGTTTTTGTTTTTGGGTTTTTTTTTGGTTTTTTTTTAGTTAGATTCTACAACCTTGCAATCTACTGAGTAAAGAACGAACTCTTTTTAGTTATATTGCAGTGGAACTTGAATTAGTGATACCTGACCCAGAAGTACTACCCCATTCCTTCAATTTCACTTCCACATCCTGTAATGGTTTGTAGAATTATAAGTTAAAAACCCTAAAGTTAGGTCAATTTGATAGAAAAAATGTATTATTTCTAAAAATCAAATTCTTATTTTTGCAGTGATGCGTTTTCAGTCAAAAAATGATTGCACTTCTTTCTAAAGCTGTTTTAGAATGAGGAAAAAATATGTTTTGTTATAAAATTGACATGCATTGTCTTGTAAGACAGGTCATTACAGAAGAAAAACAGAATTTTATAGGATAAAAAAGAAATTGCACTAAAAAGCCGAAAAGGAAAAAGAAAATGTCAGGTAACGTACTCAAAGTTCCCAAAACCCAGGAAAGTTAATAAAATGCAGTAGTAACCTTTCCATAAAGTTGTACCTAACAATTTCCTCAACTTTTAGGCATGACGTGTCTTTTTTCAGGACTGAAGAACAAAACAATTTCCTACATTCTTCAAAGAAATACCTGAGATCCCTTTGTATCTGAAATACTCGAAATCCTTCCCACATCGTTTCAGTCAATAACCCATTGCAATACAGTCTTTCCACTACTTCTGCAAGACATCCTTCTGAGATGACAGTATTACAAAATAAGTAGCAATACACGATCTGTAGCAATCTAAAGCATCAGTAGTTTCAGCTAAAACACGCTCTCGAGTTGAGTTTGTCCCCTCTTTTATCTGGGAGGTTAGAGGCATATATTCCTTGGCTCATTGCCCAAGACATCAGAGCGTACAGCAGCTTGTGAAGGCATAGAGCCAGACTAAGCAGTCTTACGGATTTTAAAAGGTTCTTCCCTCAGAATTTTGATAACTGGAAGACAGCAGACAATGAAGGACATGACATCACCTTTGGTAAACATGCAAACATTTCAGAAGCTCTTATTGCTTTAGAGGAATTCTAATTCTTCAGATGTTGCAAGACATCAGAGCGTACAGCTGCTTGTGAAGGCATAGAGCCAGACTAAGCAGTCTTACGGATTTTAAAAGGTTCTTCCCTCAGAATTTTGATAACTGGAAGACAGCAGACAATGAAGGACATGACATCACCTTTGGTAAACATGCAAACATTTCAGAAGCTCTTATTGCTTTAGAGGAATTCTAATTCTTCAGATGTTGGCAGAAGAGTTAATTCTTACTACCGTACCTACTGATACATAAGTATCTATTGCAAGGCATCTTTAAAATGCAACACAAAAATCTAAATTTAGCAACAAACCACAAAAAAGAATGAGAAAACTGTGCAAGCATTCCAGTGAATACAGAATAAAACAATTTTTAAAGAAACGAGTAACTTGTAAAGCTATATTGTAGAACTTACAATACAGAATTATAGTGGTTCACTGTTGTTTTGGTTCCCCCCCACCCCATGTCTACGTAAATAAAAACCTAAATACTTTTGCATGTTACATATGTTTTACTACACAGAGCCTTGTAAAAGTACTGGTATTTTCTCCACCTGCCCATGATTTTACATAGGGTTTAGTTCTGGGGTGGATTTTTTACCTTTTTTTGTTGCTATGAAAACAATAAAAATATTGATTTAAGAACCAAATGATTTATGGTCACAATAAAAAAAAAAAACTTAAATAAACCATTATTTCACACATCTAAGGATTCCAAAGGATACACAAAATAAGTATTTAAAAATTATGGTAAAACAAATTATAAATGAAAAATTAAAGGTTTATGTTAAGTGTTCCTTTCAAAATACATGTATTTTATCTTTTAAATACTTTTATAGGCCATTTAGTGTTTTTACATAATCTATTTTGAGGAAACATGAGAAACAATGTTGGAACAGAACAGATGAATCCATTTTAGATATACTTTAGACGTGTTTATTGTTAAAAAGAAAAGCAGACAAAATACTTTTGAAATACGAAATTAAAAAAACAGTCAAACAGCATTTTAACACCAATAATGACTGTACAACTCAGTAAAGTTTTACTAAACATTCAAAAGCATTCAATCTAGCAAATTATAAATAAAACCTGTCAAACACTTATGTAAATGCAAAAACATTAAATACATTTGATAGAAACATATCTGGAAATAAACTCTACGTTATGGTATTACTATTTCTTCATATTATTAAATAATATTTTCACCTAATATCCAGTTTTATCTATAAGACTATTTTTATTACATTCTTTGCTCCTTTGCCTAGCACTCATCATCATACAGTTTATTTCTCCACATTTTTTTTTTTGCACAGTTTTAAAAATGAGAATTTAATATCAGACAACCCCAATTTCTCAGTGGGAATTATAGCAGCAACATTTAATACTTAAAGGTCAAAAGAACATGACAAAGGCCATTTATATCTGTTACAGTCCGCATTATCCTAACTGTCATCATCATCACTACTATCGTGAGTCTTAGTCCATTCCCTGTAGGCCTGTCTTTTCTGAAAGCATGGTAAGGGAAGAAGAAAGCAGAAGTATTAGTTTAGAAGTATTAGTTTGTCTGGCAAATTTGTTAATTAAAGCAAAATAAAACCCCAGAAAACAAAGAAATTCTGAAGTGACATCCTAAGTTTAGGGCACAGTATGAGCACTCAAAATCACCTCTGTCCTATTTCCTTTAATCAGCATATACAATCTCTAAATCACTAAAAGAAGTTTTATTCCAATCTAATCCAGTAATCTGTTGAAAATGTTACCACACAGTGACTGCAGTGGGGCCAGTCACCAGACCTGTATGCACAGAAATAATACAAAAGGGAAGAATAATCTTCTTTTCCCTGTAAGAAAATACTATGCTATTCAAACTGCTTCAGATAGGGGACTTGCAATACATCGAGTCTCATGCAAAACAAAGAAATATCTCTAGAACCAGAAACATTAAGAACCAAAACCATTAGTAAACTTGAGCATAAAACAAGATTAAGACATCAAACATGCTATATCAGAAATTAATGTCTGAAAAAAAAAAATTTACACAGTTCATTATTTTCTGATTTGACTGTCTACAGGGAGAATTACAACCCTGCTTGGAGCTTTCAAAACATTTCTTCAGGAGTAGTTCTGCCTTAGAATGGTCAGTAGTGAAAACTAATATGAAACATACTATTTTTCAACTCAGCTACTTTCAAGTGGTGGCTGCCATCACAAACTATGACAGGCTTTACACAAGGCAATGCCTTCATGCTATTGTAAGTTGGATAATGGAAGGTGGTGGTACTGTACTCAGCCACACAGAGACAAATTAGAATTACATATTACATTGCAGAATTTTTTAAAGGTTTCTCAGAAAAAAAACTCAAAATGCAAACACATACAAATTTAAGAAGCAAAAGCGATGCAAAGTCATTAGAGAAGTCTGCACGTTAGAGCTGAGTCTGTTGGCTTGCTAGCATTTGTTTTAGTGGTACACTTTAGAACAGAAAAGGGATGTTTTGGAATACATTTTCTTACCAAAAAAAGGAGAAAGGTTAGAAAGTAAGTTTATGTTGTTCAGTAGTAGCTTCTAACTATGCTCTAGTTAAGGTAAAACTGCTTTGTAACACTAGCTTTAAATTGGAGAGCACAGGTTAAAGCTACCTCATTAGAAGAAAGGCAGATGCATACTATTTATTATCAAAGAACTTTCACAGTCTGCTAAACTAGATCACCAGTGAATGGTACAGTGAACATAGCTGAGATGCCCCAAATAGGACAATCCTCTTCTACCAGAAAACAAAAGACACACTAATGAAATGCAGAAGAAACAATCAGATTGGAACTCGATATGAAACAAACAGCTGTGGCAATTCTCAAAATAGTCTAAAAACTCTCTCCAAAGGCTACTTCATTCTTATCTACTTCTCCAAAAAAGGTTATTTCTGTACGACTCCTCCAACATTTCCCTGGCACACTGTGAATCCTTCAATGTGTATTTCAAAAATTCTGTTTACATTCATGCAATCACTAATTACTACTTTATTTCTTATGTCTGAATATTTCTAAAATGCAGTTTTACTTCTAACAGAGAAAAAAATAGAAACTCTGTAAGCTGCATAACAGTTGAAATTATTTCCACTTAGATATCTGAGTCAAATTTGCTTAAATAGCAGCTGAATTATTAAAGAATAACTGCTGCTCAGCATGTTCTTCATGCAAACAGTATTCCACTTCAGAACTGTTTACGTCCTTTCAATGGCTGTAGTATGACATAAATACAGCTATTTTAAGTGTGTTCAAAATGCTGGTTTACATAAAATTGAGATTAAAATATCACTGTTTAAAATATGTATTATAAAATTACTGAAAAAAGTATCTTTGTGTTTATCATCACTTTTTATCAAAAATAAAAATTAAAGACATAAACCTTTTTAATTACACATATAAATCATCTTCTTCTTTCAAAATGTTCTGTGTCTTGCACAAACCTCTACAGATATCCTGGTATAAATTATGGTGTCTTTCTCAAAAGTTGACTGTTTAAAATATGTATTATAAAATTACTGAAAAAAGTATCTTTGTGTTTATCATCACTTTTTATCAAAAATAAAAATTAAAGACATAAACCTTTTTAATTACACATATAAATCATCTTCTTCTTTCAAAATGTTCTGTGTCTTGCACAAACCTCTACAGATATCCTGGTATAAATTATGGTGTCTTTCTCAAAAGTTGTATCACAGAAACTGAATCACTGAAGTGGTCATAAGCCTAAGAAATTAAATGGAACTTCCTGACAGCTGAGTTACTAGGGAAGGGGTGGTAGGGAGTTTAAGAAACGGGAAATTCTGTAAAATATTTATTTCAACGTATGATGAGTTAGAATTTACGTCAAATTATCTTTCATTTTCTTCACCTGTAACATTTGACTTCCAGTTCCATCTCTTAATCTGTAAGGTCTAATAACGCCATCTTCACCAAAGAAGCGAGGTGGGCGCAGGCTTATCACATCTTCTGATGAATCTGCAACTCTGACAATAAAGCAGCAAATTTAAGGTATGTGTCAATATCTCTACTCAGTTATAGTATTTAGCAAAGGCTCTAAATTATTTTAAATATAAATTAAATTCAAGTACTAGTAAAGCAACTGTTGTCTATATATGTATTTTTGCATATGAATAGAATCATAGAATCATTAAGGTTGGAAAAGACCTCTAAGATCATCGAGTCCAACCGTCAA